AGCTTGTTAATAAAAAAAATGCTAGGTGAATAGAGGCATTACGTGATAGGAAACGTACCCAACCGTTTCTGTTCCGCCCGAGAACGCCAATGATGAGTCATGAACGCAGCCCTAATTGACCTTAATAATCCTCCAGAGGTTGTAGACCTTACGCTCTATACCAAGGGTTTTTTTTCTGATAAAATCTCTCACTTCACTTCTCATTTCCACACCTCTTCATCTCAACTCCATGCTCAGTTCAGCTTCAAATAAAACATCAATGGAATCTTGCAATTATAATGCGAAATATATACCAGAAAACATTTCAAACGGAATTTAAATGTATAGTAATAAATTGCGGAAAATATTTATTGTATTTTAATAAGACATTGGGGGTAGCAGAGCCAGAACTCCCCCAAAGCGCTACCTCTTAGTAACGCTAGTCTAGTAAATTGCATTGATAATTATTATCCAATATCTATGAATTTACTCTACGGAGTATGAATTGTTCACATTATCTTTCTGAATCATTTCATAATAGTACTTTGAGAGTTTGCTAACCGTACTATATAAATCTATTTTCCAATAAATGGCTCATTAAAATTGAGTAACCTGCAACCCCCTTAAGAAAGAAAAAGGGTTGCATGGCGGGTCGTATTCCGGGGAAAATTAAGATTAAGGACCTGCCCGAAACTCTATGCGTGCTGGTGGCTGTACAAGAATGTAAGAACTCTTGTATATATAAATATTTCATCATTACTAACAAAGTACCAGATTTTGTTCTACGTATTTCCAATTCTTAATTAAACAGGCCTATGTACATTTGATAAAAATCTCTACGTGGAATTCGTTAAACATTTCCCAGTTAAGCTAATGTTTAGTTATTAAACGTTTTTTAAGCTAGCTTAAGGACGTATCAGTCAAGTATTTTGGGTATTGAAGCTTAGAAGCAATCTCAAATCTTGCTCATATATATTCGAAACAAATATACAACGCTCTTGAGTAACATTAAAGAGAACACCTTCACTCTACTATGAAGGTTCAAGTACAAACGCGCATATGATCATACGTTTGTGGTTTGCTATATATACTATACTAGAAAGATCTACAGTTTCCTATATATACTATACTAGAAAGATCTACATACTCAATATATCAGTGTGTCTAAGAGTGGCAGAGCTCAGGTTGTCTCTCTTCCCATACTGAACTTACTAGGCTAAGTCTAACAAGGAAATCATTTATATCTTGAGAATCTGGCCACAAGCACAACACATCATCTGCGCATCGGTACCATATAATATTCTAAACTATTATTTTCGGAAGTAGGTTATCTCTTGAGGTTATCTTGAGATGATTTCGGGGCTTTAGTGTCCCCGCGGCCCGATCCTCGACCAGGCCTCCACCCCCAGGAAGCAGCCCGTGATAGCTAACACCCAGGTACCTATTTTACTGCTAGGTAACAGGGGCATAGGGTGAAAGAAACTTTTGCCCATTGTTTCTCGAAGCCGCCCGGGATCGAACCCGGGACCACAGGATCACAAGTCCAGCGTGCTGTCCGCTCGGCCGACCGGCTCCCACCGGTCCAGTACAGTATATATATTTTATCGTAAAATAAATCCAAGTACAAATTGCTCAGAACAGGCGATAATGCCTTCCATTTGACATCGCAAATGTTCAAGCATAAATATATATAAAAATGAGTCATATGTTGTTTACACAGTTTATTCAGTTCAATAATGGCGTTAGGAGATCAGGATGGTCCAATAGTCATTTTCCCATAATGCTATTTCATTAAAAAAATCATATGTAAAAGGAAAATAAAAAATAAAAATAAAAAATAAAAGATTAATTAAAATCCATTTCAGTTTTAGTTTTTTAAATTCATGTAATTTTATTAATTTTGTATTTTTTTAATTTTACATATGAATGTGTTAATAAATTAATGTTAAGGTAAAGTGATTATTAGGCCACCCCTATTAAATATGTATGACTATATACAAAGAGGCGACCCACTGAGCACTCAACTACAGAAGATTAAAGTGATTATACAATGCCAACCAGCATATATACATTGTTAGATGGTGAGCAACGTTGTCCTATCAAAACTCACAACCCTAAAGTTGTACCATATTTGTATTAACCAGCTTCCTTATTAGATCTAAAATGTTCTTAATGATATGCGTTATCGTTCTTACTGGCGGAGCCCAAACATTTACAAGCCATTTGGACTATATGCAATTGACTCCACTGATTTAACAATTGGTATAGCTGGATTGTTGACTGTATTTTAATAAGACTATACATAGAGTATATCGTAATGAATTATATATCAGTGAGATTCATTTGTTAAATGATTCCATTGTTCTTAAATGTTTAAAATTTTTATTAAAATTACCAATGACTTCCTCTATGTATTATATGTCATAAGTACTCCTATTACTGATATTTTCTATTTTATTCCCCGAGATATTCCATTTTGTCCAAGATATCAAATGCATTCAAATAATTTGTTTTGTTTACAAAATTTTAATGAATCTATCTGGGCAGTCAGAAACAACCTTGTTTAATAAGCCATGAACAATTCCCTTGAACACGTCTATTGGCAAATCAGATTTTCTCTAATTTGCCAAACCATTTGCAACCTCTACATGAAATTCTCCTAAGGAAACTATCTTCGGTATTGGAAGAGAAGCTAACACCATAACCCACCGTAGTGATTATATTATTGGTTAATATTATAAAGAATGGTTACTAATATAATATGCTTTCATTTATAACTTACGGTCAAATCTCCAACTCGCGTCCCTGCAAGCAGTCCTTAAAAGCTTCAAAAGTAATAATCCATAACGTCGCTTCGATCCAACTTCAAAATGCAGTATGTTGAAATTAGGGTGTTTATTACCCCCTCATGAATTTAAAACACTCACTTATTAACAATGTTTCGTTAACACTAGGCATTGAATATCATTAAAAGCGGGTCACGCATTTTCAATAGGGTAGTAGATAACGTAATTTTAAGCAACACGTATTCACTAAGGCACTTCCACTAAGGCATTTAGTATCAAGTATTAGTGTATATAGACTTTGAATATGTTATCACGTGCCAATTTATGCCCTTTCCAACGTACCATAATAAACGTTCTTTAAAAGTAGCCTGGTCTTTTTTTTTACCTTGGTTCAATGCGTTTCCGCGATTAGTGTTTATGGGCCGCGACGGCAGAGGTGCCGTGCGTCCCAGAGTTCCCTTGAAGGGATAAACGCAAAGTCTTAAGGCTATATTAATGTCGCCTGTTGGCGGAAATGTACCCGCCTTGCAGTGAATAAACACACTAGATAGGACTCCTGGTCCATCCTTGACGTCTGGTCACCTGTTCCACTTGGGGGCGGCAGGATCGACGTGATTTTACTCTTGACGTGACGTGATTTTTACCCTTTGGGACTCTATACTGCCGTCATATATTCCTATTCAATGGTCCGGCCCTTCTCGGCCAAGCCGGCGCCGGACACTGTCTTCCCGACCGAAACCGGAAATATCTATCAACTTCTTTGTGACTCCAGGCGTCGTAATAATCCAGGTCTTTGAATATGAATGCCTGTACAAACATCCAAAAGGTAAATTTGCGTCAAGTGAGCTGGCGGCGCCTCAAGGTAGAGCAGGTGTCCAGTCGTCCAGTCGTCGCCAGGGATGAACCAGCAGTCTCCGCGATTACTGACGTGGCGTTGTTGATTTCTGTTTACATGGCGCGAGCATTTCATTGAAAGCACTAATAATACTAAGTGTGTTTTGGGTAACAATATGTGAATTACTGTACATTAAGATAATATAAGCATCATAAAATTGTGGCGTGTAATATAACGCGCTTAATTGATGAAATTGTTATGTTCTTTGTTTTGAAATGCATGTAAGCCTAGTGTGACGTCACGCGTGTTTAGAATTATAGCCGAATCTACAATTATTTAAACTTAGACTACCGCAGACAGCAGCTTGGTTTGAATTTGTGGTCAAAGTTCATTATATATATATATATATATATATATATATATATATATATATATATATATATATATATATATATATATATATATATATATATATATATATATATATATATATATATATATATATATATATATATATATATATATATATATATATATATATATATATGTTTAGCTACTGGTTTATATAAGCATAAGCCGCGGATGTAACTGATTCATTTTTATATATGACTGACCTTTACGTATTACATAAACGACTTTACGATGAATATTGTGTACAGTATAAAGCTGAACAATATAACGCTGAAACAATATGGGGTTGAACAATTTACGATTAAATGATAGGACGTTGAACAATATAATGTTGAATAATACGAGATTGAACAATATAAATTTGAATATTAACAATATAAGGTTGAACAATGTATTTGAACAAATAAGGTTGAACACTGTGAAGTTGAACATGTTCCAATAATATTTTAACGAGGGTTAATGTTTTGTCCATTTGAATAAGTTATGGGTTCTAGCGCTCGGCAGTGGAGCTAAATTTAAGAGAATTCAATTCAATAGAACACTAAGTCAAATTTACTCATTTGTAACATATATCTTAAGTGTTCTTTCCTCTCAAGACCACATTAAATAGCAAGGTTACCTTCACAGACGCTGAAGGTAACAATTCGTGTACAAGCCTAGTCAAAGGGATTTCAGTTTTCACGAGAGAAATTTGACCTATTAGCGCTGGTAAAAATTTCAGGAAAAATAGAGGTGGGGGATTGGTGGGGGGGGGGGGGGGGATTGGGTATATTACCTGTGGCAACAATCCACCGGCTTCTTGTCCCCGTCCAGGACACTAGAGATACTAGCCCTCGGGTAAATTTTGGAATAAACTATTTAAATCATTAAAAACACACAAGTAAAATGAAACATTTCCTGGCAAAAGTGAAAACTGTTACATATATAACACTTTAAGAGAATAAATCAAATCTGTACAGTACATGTATATAGGTTAATAAAAGCCTCTCGATGCTTAAACAGTTATAATCATCGTTTGAAATATAACTTGTTGGCATTAAATAATGTTTACTGGTTACACACTTCCACAATAAAATGCGTATCATTAGTATCAATTTGGAATAATAAATACAAACGAAATAGCTAATAAACAAATGAATTATTATGTTTCAGCGGTATAGCACAACAGCCATCACAGGTGATTTGTTCAAGTCTTTTCTAGACTAGATATGACTGAGGGAACTTTTTAGTCAATGTTCCGCTACCAGAGAATACCTCCCGCTGTGAGGTATTCTCAGTCATTTATGGTATTATGGTAGTATATGAGTGTGGTATTCTCAGTCATTTATGGTATTATGGTAGTATATGAGTGTAGTATTCTCAGTGGTATAGTCATTTCTAGTCTAGAAAAGACTCTGAGGGAATTTTTTTAGTCAACGTTCAGCTGCGGGAGAATATCTCCCGCTGTGTCGTACGCTGAATATTTCAGTTTATTATCGATCGCCGGAGCTTCTATCTTTGTGTGAAGAAGTTAATGTTTGCAGAAGAGTAACTGTTGAGCAATTCTGGTGAATGTCGGTATTAATGGATCTTGTCAAAAATTGATTATACTATGGAAAGTTGTAATAAACCGAAAACGTGTTCATGTCTATATTAGGGGGATTAAATTTACATAATCTTGTAGAGGGCCCTGGGGGGGGGGTGCGAGTGCTTTTCCAAACCTGACGAAGGAGCCAGGACGAGCTGAGCACCTGTGCAAGGCTATAGAGGGCAACGTGGAGCGACTAGAGGGCGGAGAGAGCCTGAAGCTCGACGGAGAAGTCCCACTGCTGTGAGAGGAGGTTGTTGCGGCAGGGCTGGACAAGGGCGCCATAGTCGCTGGCGGAGTCCAGACACAGACCAGAGGCGCCGTGCTGCAGCCGGCGACCCTGACGAAGCCACCGCTGGGAAGGGGAACACAAAACTATATGGGGGAGAAATGATTTACCTTCAATGTGTAATAAATAATATATTGTCATTCATAGTAGTTGAGTGCAAGACGTTTGTTAATGGTTATTATAATATTTAATTATCAGGTGTGCAGATAAATGGTAAAGCTAATGTCAAATGTCCACTGAGATATGACTGATGCCTTACGTACACTTTGTAATCCTTTTGCGCTACCACTCACAGGATGAGTATGGGGTGCATAATAACCGCTCACCGGATGAGTTTTGGGTCACAATAAACTAGCGGCCGCTGGCGGCAACAATGAATAAGGAACACAGCAATAGGCTTACCGGTCCATGAAAGGCTGGTCCTATTTTACAACCAATTATTATATTGTTTGCCCTTAACATTGTATTTTTTAAAAGCTACTTGACTGTCACCTTCAGTAATACTACTACTTACAGTCAATTTCCTGATCGTCTGCTGGCTACAGGCTACCTAGTGTCTGCCTGTATCCTTTTCTAAACATAAATGTCGTCAAATAGAAAACGTTGTTAAGAGTACTTTCTTACATATAATCAATAAATAAATCATATTTTATAAGATAATACAAAAAAAATTTGGGGTGTAGAAAGAAAATACTCGCGATCAGGGAGAATCCACGCGGTCTTCTTTGAATACCATTTATTCTCTTCTCCGAGGCTACGAGTCCATACAATTGCACCAGAGGTGGAACCTAATTACCTCTTGTTGAATTAGTGAGGCCACATTGCCTGAGAAAAGAGAACAAGAGGCACTCGAGGGGACCTTGAGGGCATGTTATGGTCTCCAATGTACACAATATAAATTACTATGGAAAGTAGTGGCTCAAAAATATCCATGTTTTCTATGCATCGGTAGATTAGGCTTGGTGGGTTGCTTGGGTTCGTACACGTCTGGTTGGGTCAAAACTTTGCATTGTGAATGCTGTGGGTCACCTGCTTGGGTCCTGCTAGACACTGTGGCTCACCTGCTTGGGTCCTGCTAGACACTGTGGCTCACCTGCTTGGGTCCTGCTAGACACTGTGGCTCACCTGCCTGGGTCCTGCTAGACACTATGGCTCACCTGCTTGGGTCCTGCTAGACACTGTTGCTCACCTGCTTGGGTCCTGCTAGACACTGTGGCTCACCTGCTTGGGTCCTGCTAGACACTGTGGCTCACTTGCTTGGGTCCTGCTAGACACTGTGGCTCACCTGCTTGGGTCCTGCTAGACACTGTGGCTCACCTGCTTGGGTCCTGCTAGACACTGTGGCTCACCTGCTTAGGTCCTGCTAGACGCTATGGCTCACCTGCCTGGGGTCCTGCTAGACACTGTGGCTCACCTGCTTGGGTCCTGCTAGACACTGTGGCTCACCTGCTTGGGTCCTGCGAGACACTGCTGGACGTGGACCCTGGCGTCACTAGGAGCCAGGACTGACAGGCAGAGGCCTCCCTGAGCCACAGCCCCGTCCTGCGACAAGGACCACTCCTGCGTCGCCCGCTCCGCCACGCACGTCGTCACCTCCACCAGCAGCTCCGTGTCCGGTGCTCTCTGTTGCTTCTGAAAAGTTTATAGTGTTTATCCCGTTCTCTCATCTAATACGTGGCATTATATATATATATATATATATATATATATATATATATATATATATATATATATATATATATATATATATATATATATATATATATATATATATATATATATATATATATATATATATATATATATATATATATATATATATATATATATTGATATGACCGCATATTCTGTATTTATTATTTCTGGTTTAGGGCTTCTATCCCTCTAACTATTTTCTTAGCATCAGGGCTTAATTGAAATAGGAGTTCTCCAAAACTCATTTTCGTACTTTTAAGGTGAAGAAAAGAGTGATTTACTATAGAGTGTATACACTTATTTGTATAATTTGCACGACGTTTCGAACCTCCATGGTTCATTCTCAAGTGAACAGATCTTACAATACTAGTTGATTTTATACCCGCATTAGGTCAGGTGATAATACAATGAAGGTGAAAACATGGGGGGATACATAAGGGATAAACATAGGGGCTGCAGAAGGCTTATTGGCCCATACGAGGCATCTCCTATCTAAACACAAAGATTAATCCAGTGTAATTGGCCTGTTATGTTGGACATTGTCTTCTGTGTTGGCATCGATATGTTCTTGTCTTGTCCTTACTCTCATGGTGGGTAGAGTAAATAGTTCCGTGATTTGGGTGTTCATGGTAGGTCGCTCTATTCTTATGTGAATTGCCTCAATTCACATAATATATATATATATATATATATATATATATATATATATATATATATATATATATATATATATATATATATATATATTGACGTTTTCTAAGCAACGGCCTATATAGGTTAAGTGGGTCCACAGGATGAGTATGGGGTGCACAATAAACTACCGCTCCCAGGATGAGTACACAAGTTGCTGACTTGCATTGACCATGTACTGTAACATGAATTATAATACAGTAATTAGACTACTGCTTTTGTAACTTAAATCACAGATATGGGGCAAATGAAGCCATTCTGATCTAGTTCTCGACAACCATAAATTGCTTAGCTTGACGATCATTGGTGCAGAGTTTCTGAACGTATTAAGCGGCTTTCCGCCACCTCCCACAGCATGAGTGTGATCGTAATTAATTAATTAGTGAAGTAATTAAGTTAACTACACCGTCGTGATGATGTGGAGCCCGCGATGTGCTCCCCGTGCGGGTGTGGGCCGCCACAGGAGCCGCCACCTACCTTGTCGAGCGACGGGGACTCGGGCCCCTGGAGGCACGTGTTTCGCTGGCGAAGTTGGCCGTAAGCGAGCTCGTGTCTGGAGGGCGTGGCCAGCTCCGGGTAGATGGTCTTGAGGTACCAGCCGAACCCCCGACACCCCAGCCTCGACCGCAGCTCCTTCCTCTCGCTGATGCTGCACAATACAAGGGTTACACTAAGGGTTACAAGGGTTAGACTAAGATGGCTGTGCACTCACACACCTACAATAATGGACAACGTTTAAGAGCATGAAAGGTTTTGAGAATCCTTCTTAGAAGATCACCATGGGGGGGGGGGGGGGGGATTAAGACAACCTCAACCCCGATTAACTCGACTGCCACAACATTTTTTTCTGGCCATTCATCTTGGTTCTGTTCAGCTGAGGACAATTCCAAATTGAGTGAGACCTTGACCTTGACCTTAACTATACATACTACAGTCCCCCTCGTATATGAACAGTACCTACTCCCCACCACACCCGTGTAGACCGAGACTACCTCACCAGCACACGGCTCCCAGCGGTCGCAGGCTCGCCCCGCACTTTAAGTTCATTTGCTTTCAACCTCTTACAGTCTATATATTGGGGGTCTTACACAGCCAGCTTCACCGCTGTTGTAAGCATGGGTTGTTAAACGCAGCATCCTTCCTGCACTTCCTAACAACTACTTCTAAGTTGCCCCCTTTGCAGGGCATGTCATTTCTCGCTCCTGGTACTATCATACACACAAACAAGATGCCCCACTAGGTACCTAACGCAGAAATCTGTTGCTGGGACAGCTCGCTACCCATAGTCCTTCCCATTTTCCTTTTCCAGCCGCCACACTGTTTACCACAGCCAGCTGTCTCATAGCGCCTAGGACAACTGGCTCCCCACACACACATCTACGGGCTCACCATAGCCCGTGTTACTTGGAACTTTTTGTTCCAGGTAGCGAATCTTTAACAACAACAACAACATGGCTTCCCACCGCCAATTGGGAAGCTAGACCTTCACTTCACGTCTGGGACATCATTCTTGCATCTATGGTTTATGTTGCTTTTCATTGAAAGACCAAGCATACTCATGTCACTACACGTCTCCACAAGTGAGCACCATAATTGAGAAAAGGAGAGCACTGCAGAGGCGTGAGCTCCGTCTAGTGAGCCCCACACAGGTCATCACACAGTCACACAGTACACACAAGACACACACACTGCTAAAGTCAGGAAAACAAGATATAAAAGAAAAATTAAGCAGGAAAGAGAAATGTCAGTGTTGTGAAGTCAACTCTGCAGAAGATTGGAGCACGCAACATATTACATGCAGCAGCACACTTCTGAAAAAGACAACAATGAAGTTACTGTGATGATAATGAGACGACTGTGGTGGTAAGGAAGCCACTGTGGTGGTAAGGAAGCCACTGTGGTGGTAAGGAAGCCACTGTGGTGGTAGGAAGCCACTGTGGTGGTAAGGAAGCCACTGTGGTGGTAAGGAAGCCACTGTGGTGGTAAGGAAGCCACTGTGGTGGTAAGGAAGCCACTGTGGTGGTAGGAAGCCACTGTGGTGGTAAGGAAGCCACTGTGGTGGTAAGGAAGCCACTGTGGTGGTAAGGAAGCCACTGTGGTGGTAAGGAAGCCACTGTGGTGGTAAGGAAGCCACTGTGGTGGTAGGAAGCCACTGTGGTGGTAAGGAAGCCACTGTGGTGGTAAGGAAGCCACTGTGGTGGTAGGAAGCCACTGTGGTGGTAAGGAAGCCACTGTGGTGGTAAGGAAGCCACTGTGGTGGTAAGGAAGCCACTGTGGTGGTAGGAAGCCACTGTGGTGGTAAGGAAGCCACTGTGGTGGTAAGGAAGCCACTGTGGTGGTAGGAAGCCACTGTGGTGGTAGGAAGCCACTGGGTGGTAGGAAGCCACTGTGGTGGTAGGAAGCCACTGTGGTGGTAAGGAAGCCACTGTGGTGGTAGGAAGCCACTGTGGTGGTAAGGAAGCCACTGTGGTGGTAAGGAAGCCACTGTGGTGGTAAGGAAGCCACTGTGGTGGTAAGGAAGCCACTGTGGTGGTAGGAAGCCACTGTGGTGGTAAGGAAGCCACTGTGGTGGTAAGGAAGCCACTGTGGTGGTAAGGAAGCCACTGTGGTGGTAAGGAAGCCACTGTGGTGGTAGGAAGCCACTGTGGTGGTAAGGAAGCCACTGTGGTGGTAAGGAAGCCACTGTGGTGGTAGGAAGCCACTGTGGTGGTAAGGAAGCCACTGTGGTGGTAAGGAAGCCACTGTGGTGGTAAGGAAGCCACTGTGGTGGTAGGAAGCCACTGTGGTGGTAGGAAGCCACTGTGGTGGTAAGGAAGCCACTGTGGTGGTAAGGAAGCCACTGTGGTGGTAGGAAGCCACTGTGGTGGTAGGAAGCCACTGTGGTGGTAGGAAGCCACTGTGGTGGTAAGGAAGCCACTGTGGTGGTAGGAAGCCACTGTGGTGGTAAGGAAGCCACTGTGGTGGTAGGAAGCCACTGTGGTGGTAGGAAGCCACTGTGGTGGTAGGAAGCCACTGTGGTGGTAGGAAGCCACTGTGGTGGTAGGAAGCCACTGTGGTGGTAGGAAGCCACTGTGGTGGTAAGGAAGCCACTGTGGTGGTAAGGAAGCCACTGTGGTGGTAAGGAAGCCACTGTGGTGGGAAGCCACTGTGGTGGTAAGGAAGCCACTGTGGTGGTAAGGAAGCCACTGTGGTGGTAGGAAGCCACTGTGGTGGTAAGGAAGCCACTGTGGTGGTAAGGAAGCCACTGTGGTGGTAGCAAGCCACTGTGGTGGTAGGAAGCCACTGTGGTGGTAGGAAGCCACTGTGGTGGTAGGAAGCCACTGTGGTGGTAATAAAGCCACTGTGGTGGCAGGAAAGTGACTGAGGAAGGTGGCACTCACTCGCCGTGAGGTATCTGGAGAGCGTTGGGTCTGGTCTCGTAGAAGAAGTGGATGAACTCGTCGAGCCACACCTCGGCCACCCGGCGGGAGTTCCTGCAGGCAGGGAAGACAGCAGTCAGTTGAGCACACCCAGCACCGTGGGCCGAGGTAAGTGGCAATAATATGTCAACTCTTCAGGAAACTGGAAGGTGAATTATTATGTACACTGGTTCAAAAGCTTCGGGACCCGCCAAGGAAAGGAGGCAACGTCCCACCCTGGATGCGGGTCTCGAAGCCATCGGCAACAAGTTACCTTCACCGTCCCAAAAGTAACCAATTACTAATAACTGGGGTTCGTGACTGTCACATATGTTAGTCTGGTACAAGTAAGCCACGTGTTAAACATAGAAACTGTAATGCTTCGCTGAATGCAAGTGTTTTAGCTAACATATACTGACCCAGCTAGTAGAAGGGATCATCTGAACCACTGAGGCGTCTGTAATTACTATTTTCCTATGTAGTTTAGTCCCGTCTCGGTCAATCGTCGTTAGTGATTACAAACACAAGGCCTGTCTTAATTCCCTACCTGAATAAGTGTATGCTCCTTGCAATTAGACCTAGCAACTATTGCCTTTGCTGATGGCCTATTTCATAAAAAATTGTTTGCTAAAAGGGCCGTTAAATTAGCATAACTACCTTACCTGATGCCTTAGAATTTACTAGGATCAATCACAGGAGACTTCGCAGGTTTATTAATTAGTCGTGTCGACTCACTTGAGAAGTCCAGGTTTCTTCAATTAGATAGAGAACCACAAGAGGCTTTAAAGGTTTCTCGGTTAGTAAAGGACTTGCATGAGGCTTCAAATTGTCGAGAGACTGACCTGAGATCCAGAGACTCACCTAAGGTCCAGAGACTCACCTGAGGTCCAGAGACTCACCTGAGATCCAGAGACTCACCTAAGGTCCAGAGACTGACCTAAGGTCCAGAGACTGACCTAAGGTCCAGAGACTGACCTGAGATAGGTGTTGGCGTTGCCCTCAGGGAAGGTGTAGGGGTGGCGCTTACGGAAGATGTGACCGACGCGGCTGCAGGGCGCCACCTCCACGCTGCCCCCGCACTGCCACGCCTTGAACGATATCTCTGCCACACCCACCGCCGCCCCCGTCAGCAGCAGACACCCGTCGCAGGTGGGGTATGAGACAGGTGTTAGGACGGAGGTGGGACGTTAGACAGGGGGAGGGACGGGAGACGTTTATACAAGGGGGTCACTGTGTATGAGATCTCGATAAAAGATACAGATTTATAATACCCGTTGACGGAGGTCAAGAAACCTGTACATAAATTTATTGAGGTCATTCCCCTGAATACAAGGCATAACACTTGACTAAATCCTAGGAACATATGTACTGCTAGGTGAACAGATGCATTAGTTGAAAGAAAACGTGCTCAACCAGTTCTGTCCCGCTCGGGGGATCGAACTCGTGTCTTGAATGTACATTAGTGTACTTATGGAAATCATCCTGTGTCATCCTCCCATATGTGAGTAAGATGACCCAGGGGAGGGGAAGGGACTCATGTACTGAGTCCACCCCCCTCTTCTATTCCTCAACAACATTCATATGTACTCTCACCACGGCATACTTATGTACTCACCTATTATGAGCCACTCATAATGCACTCGTGTACATTATCTCCCCGGGAACTCTCTCATGTACACACTCATAACCATGCACACCTCATAACATACCATTGCACTCTTCCTCACAACATACCCATGAACACCCTGATTATATTATTATGTACTCTTCCGCAGCATACTCACGGAGTATGCCTGCCTTATAACACATATACTCTGTCCTCTCACACAACATATTATTCAAGTAATGTTTTAATATACTGATATTATATATTAATGTATACACTAATATATACTTTAATATACTGTACTGTTTATCATATATTATCACCTTACTCATGTATTCTCACAACACACAATCTCACATATCCTTACAATATACACATCCAATTTGCGAATCCTCGCAATAAATATTCTCATCGTACTCGTATATCCTCACACCACAATGCCTCATCGTACTCACACACATCCTCACAATACATAGTCTCACCGTACATATCCTCCATGTACTCACAGAGATCTTTGGCTCGTCTATGCCTCAACCATCCATGCGAACATAACCAAGGTTCTCTGCCTCGCCCCGTAACACAGCCCTTATCAGGGATTCACAAACCCCACAACATACCGCCCACATGCGCTCTAGACATACCCTAACATAGCTCTCATGAGATCAAATAAGCTCCTACATTCCCTACCCCACATGCACCTCCCTCCTTCCACCCAACTTCCCACATAACATACCCAAGTTCCCTAATATGAGCACCGCGCAAACACTCCTTAGCATACTACTCCCAACATACTCACCCAGGTTCTCTGCTCCCCACACATCGAGGCCAACATCATACTTGCCCAGCTGGTCCCACCAGCTGCGGGA